ATGACTATCAAGCGTTTAGGGTGCTCCGCAATTTCATTTGCACAAACAAGAATTCGGCGAGCTAAAGCTTCCTACTTCCATGAAGCCCTTTCATCTGCCCCAGATCCCAAATCTAAATGGCTAATCCTTCACAAACTTTCCCTCTGTGAACCTTCCAGATCCCCTTCCTCACTGGTCTTTTCCGTTTCACCTGACAATTTAAATGCACATTTTATTTCTGCCTCCTCTACCTCTTCTCTTCCCTCCTCTTCCAACTTTGCTCCTGAGTCATCATTTAATGATGATTACTTTTATTTCTCCAACATTTCCCCGACTGACTTACTAACCGCAGTAATGAAATCCCACACCAATTCCATAGGACCAGATGGCATTCCTGTCAAATTGATAAAATTATGTCTCCCCGAAATCCTCCCAGTTCTCCTTTTCATTTACAATTTCTCCCTACAGAACTCAATATTCCCTTCCTCTTGGAAAAAAGCCATTGTACTCCCTTTAAATAAAAAGCCTAATCCATCCTCTCCCGAAGACTTTCGCCCAATCTCAATTCTTTCCAATCTCTCAAAACCCCTAGAAAGATTGGTGCAATCCCAAGTTTCCAATTTCCTCGAAAAGTTTGATCCTCTCCAATCTGGTTTCCGTCCGTTATACTTCTTGACTTCTCTAAAGCCTTCGATTCCATTAACCATCCCATCCTTTTCAACAAACTAAAATCACTCTCCTTCTTCAATAGCTCCATCTCTTGGTTCCAATCTTTTCTCTCACAACGCACCCAAGCAATCTCCATTCCTAATCAACCACTATCTGCCTACCTGCCTTTATCCTCTGGAGTTGCCCAAGGATCTAGCATATCTCCTCTCCTTTTTAGTTCCTATATTAATGACCTCCATGACTCAATTCTCCATTGTTCCCACCACCTTTATGCAGACGATTCTCAAATATACCTATCCTTTTCTCCCCCTGAGCTATTGGTAGCATTTACTAAGATCCAAGCAGACCTAGATCGAATCTGTGCCTGGGCAAACTTAAACGGATTAAGGTTAAATGCTTCAAAAACTCAGGCCATTGTCATTGGTTCCAAGCCCCTCCTTAGATCCTATACCTACTTTCCCATACTAAACCTTGGTGACCAGCCAATCTCCTTCTACTCCTCTGTAAACAATTTAGGACTATTTATTGATCAAACCCTCTCCTGGAGTCACCATATTTCTCACATCTCCCGACGGACAGTTTCTACCCTCAAACTATTTTTCTAAAAGGGTTTATTTATATTTTAACATTGTACATAGTTTTAAGTACCTTAGTATGGTTTCAAGAGTTTTTTATATAGATTTTTTTATTTTATTTTGTATATAGTATGTATAACCAGTATTTTTTTTTCTTTTTTTTTTAATGATCGATCTTTATCTTAACTTTTTATGTTTGTTTTTATCTGGAAAGATATAAAATTTTAATTTCTGTACTTTTTTGTTGCCCTCACAACCTTATTTTATCAAGATTAGTAGAGTTTTTTGTGGAATATTATTTATACTGCTAATAGATGTGTCTATCAGTCACAAAGGAATCGACACGAACATAAATTTGAGAAGATACCGATATTCCAAAAACCTATATATCGTGACTTCATTATATCGAGACTGGAAGAGTTTTACCATTTTCTTTATTTTTTTATTATTTTTATCCTTCCCTTTCTCTCATTTGAGCATATAGCAATATTCCAAATACTGATTTATCAGCCTTAAGACCTTACTTTTAACAAGATTGGTTGAGCTTCATTATTTTGTATTATTAATTTTTTAATAAAGTATTGCAAACAATATTCGGATTGAAGAAGGATGAGTTAACTGCAGAGTTTAGACAGTTACACAATGCTAAATTGTGTGAAATGTACCCGGTTAATATAATTGAGGTGATTACTTCACGACAAATTAAATGGGCTTGTAAAATTGTTGGACATAATAACAAAAGAATTCAAAAGAGGTTAATATTTGCTCTGCCAATTGGAAAACGTCCAAGGGGTGGAGCGAAGTGAAGGTGAGAAGATTGCATTAAGGTCGCTCTGCCTTCACTGGGCATCTTCAGTCCCTTGACTGGGTTTGACCAGTGGAGGGAGGTGTGTAACAAGCAATTGGTGGTGTCGGCATCGAACCTTCATGTTCGCTAACCTTTTATTATTATTATTATTATGAATTGCAGTGTCTCTTCATCAATTCTCTTATTTCTGGATTAATTCAGGGGACAGCAGGGAATCTGATGGTAGAGGTCTTAAAAGGTACATGTTGATTTAGGAATAGGAGGAAAGACACTCCACCATTTCATCAATGGAGGAATAGGAATAGATCAGATCTAACCATCAGGCTAGTGATTTGAGGAAAAGATTTAGTTTTTCAGAGATCAATAAGCCAAAATTCCGCCATGTAATTTGCTTAGGTATAAACTTTGGAGTCGGGTCGTTATAGGAAATCTTGATGAGATCATATAAAAGGAAGGAAACAGGATTATGGGACAACAATAAGTTTGGACAGGAGTCAATTAAAAAATTATTGAACCATGAACTTAAGAACTGGGTATGGTGAGTAGGTTGAAAAGGAACGATAAATAGGTCTAGAGAATGGATTAGGTCTACAAGGTATGATTTGTTGGGAAAGTCGGAGGATAAATCGGTACTAAAGTTGCTGGCTATTATTACATTGTTTTATAATCTAACATAGGTAAAAAGGGAGGATCAAATCGGACTTGGGGAGGCACATACCATTAAGGCAAATTATGAGTCTCAAATCCTGTGGCTCCAGTTTGTCTACCCTTTCCTTATAAAGTAAGTTATACCTACGCAGAAGTTTGCTGGTAAGTCTATCTCTTCAGACAATAGTCTCTGATACCACAAAGCTAGATGGCTATGAATGTTGTTGAAGGGCTTCAGCCAGTAATTTTGTATTTTATCCAGCCTAGAAGCTTTCCAGTTTTTTATTTGCTTCAGTGCCTTTGCCTCATCATCCACTTAAATAATAGTTGCTTCTATTGGTCGGAGTTCTGATAGACTACAAAAAATATTTTCCAACGAATTCGCCTTGTTATCAAAACATTTCTTACTTTCACAAATATCTTTCCATTATTCCGATAATTCAGTAGAATCTGGGAAGATATTCTTTATAGGTTTTAAAATCTTATATGTTTTATGAAATAATGAATTTTGTCTCCTTCTATTTTGTCTCAATCTTGAACCTCCATATAACTCCTAATCCTATTGGCAAACACTGCTAATTTCTGCTTGAGGATTCCCATATAAAATCCAGGTGTTTGATTTAACTCACTGCTTACTACATCTCCAATATTGAATACAATGGCTTCATTGAAATTTTTCTTTAGTTTTAAACATGCATTTTCTGGATTCTGGAGGTAATTAGTGATAATTCCGATTTTGCATTATAGATTCTCACAGTGCTCCTTATCTTTTACTAATCTAAACTTGACCGTGACCATTCGAGCCTCCCATGTATAGCCAATAACATATTTCTTATAGAGTTATAACCTCTAACATATGCTCAACAAGTATTTCATCTGATGCTCTGACAGTGTATTTCTCTGTGAACTCTAGGCTACTATACGTCCTACTTCAGTTTTGATTTCTGACTCTGATAAAAGTTTGCAAGCCAGTATTTGCTTGACCTGGTCAACGAGTCTTTGGGATGATACTGCTATTTATGGGTATTGTTCTTTCAGAGATGGCTGATTCTGTATTTGGAGTATTCAGTATTCTGTATACAGTGTGTATTTGCAGTATCTAGTTTTATCTTTTTCGTGTGTAGCCAATAAGTGAACTCAGATTGCAGCAATATTCATATTGTGGTCCAACTTCACCCTTCATTGCCTACCTATTTAGCCAGTGTTTCCTATTCCACGCATGGAAGACTCAACAGTTTAACTCAAGCACGGTTCAGAGTTCAATGATGAAAGTCCTATGATAGTCAGTCTTACGGGAACATACGACACCAAGGCATTGCTTGCTCCACCACCCACAGTCTGATTTATACAGTAAAATATAACCCCCAAAATGGTAAAATATAACCACGTCTTATAAAAAAAATACTATCAAATAACCTTTAAAAGTATTATTGTTAGTGTTATTACATTTAATAGTTCTTCAATAATCATTTAAACACCATTTCATATAGATAGTTAGTTTCTTTCTTTAGTAATTTTTGTTATATATATATATATATATATATATATATATATATATATATATATATATATATATATATATATATATATATATATATTAAAAAAAGCGTTCATGCTGAAGTCTCCCCCATATTAAATCCTGGATCTGTTAGTGGCACCACCTGCATATGTCGAAGGCTAAATATCCAATCCCTCCGAAGTAACCCTCACTTTGTACTAGTCAGAAGCTATTTTTCTGCTACTTCACACCATTTTGTTGGGTATATACATTTTATACCTTCTGCATGGTCATCCTGGGGAAGGTACCACTAGGGAGTGTACTGTAGATGCCTTTAATATCAGTGTAAATGATTTAGTGGACTGTTTTGTGTGTATTTGTAGATGGTGTATTGTACTCAGTAAACCGGGGGATTGTAAAACCCCAGTAACTGCATCTATCAGTTGCTCCCTGTGGATATTATTATTATTATATATTATTATTTAGTATTTAATTGCAATCTAATATAAATTTCAGGAAAAACGTTTAAAATTTCCACGATTTTACTTTATAAGTGATAATGATCTATTGGAAATTTTGGGACAGCCAAATAAGAAGGAAATTTTACAATCTCACTTAAGAAAAATATTTCCTGGGGTTCACTCTGTAATTTTTGTTGACAACATGATTACAAGTGTTGTTTCATCTCAAGGTGAAGAAGTTCAACTTGTTAAAGGCATTACAGTCACCGATGCTATTGAGGTTTATATTCTTTATTTTAATTTATTACTTTCTCATTTTTCATAAACCAATTATAATTTACTAAAATGTTTATTTTGTATCTAGGATTGGCTGGAAGTATTGGATAAAACAATTAAATTATCTCTGAAAGAATTACTTTCTCTTTGTTTGGATTTCCCAGATCCACTAAAGTATCCCTCTCAGATATTGTGTTTAAGTGAACAGATCAATTTCACGAATAGTTGTGAGTCAGCTATAAAAAGTGGAACTTTAATTAGTTTTCAGAAAGAAATAATGGTAATCTTCCATATTTATTTTTAGTGTATATATATATTGTAACATATCTCTTATATTCTACAAATAATAATAATATAATCTCTTAAGATCACTTTATACCGTTAGGATACTTCCAAAAGAAACAAGAGGTTGTTATAATAATAAACAAAATTATGAGAGTATTAATATTTTTATTTATCTCAGGTGTGGGTTACAGACAATCAGATCAACTCAGACAAACTATTATTATTTACTCTATTTATACTAAAATTAAACATTGATTTTAAAATAAAGTCAAGTATGAATTGGCAAGCTAACCTTTTTTTATATATAGTGTTTCTTCCTTTGTGGCTCTGAATTCATTTGTTTTCAAACACTTTTCAAAGTTCTGCCAAACACAACTTCCAAAATGGTAACACTATCATTTACTTAACTTTAACTTCCTGGAATATCCTCTCTCTTTCGATCACAAACAACTAGTCTCTCTACCAAACAACAACTTCCAAGGTGGTAATACTATTATTGGGTTTTACCCACTGGAGCCAGGATCACTTCTCCTATCCTCTCTTCACTGCAGCCACACAACAACTGTTTGCCAAAACAAAAACCTTTGTCCCTCTCCTCTTTGGGATTTTCCTTCTTGGGAAACTACAGAGCAGCCATTTTCTTTTCCCTGCACTAGTAGAACTAGATTAGCTTGCCTTTTAATTGTTCAACATTAATTTATTAAAACCTTTTTACTCACTTCTAATAAAGGTGTACATTACAATATATAACTTAAGTTTGCTAAGGCAAATATAAATATAAATACCGAAATAGAAAGACGAATTGACTCGCAAGACACTTGTGTAAAAAACTATACTTTTATTATATTTCCAATAATGCTTTTTCATACCTTTAAAAGTATTCTTTAGAATTAACATATGAGATTAAGTCTCAGATTATAATGCTGCATACCTAACTCCTCCCTACCAGTTTCGGGGTATTCTCCATAAACTTTAACATTAATACTTTCATCTAATCAGAGAAATAAAGAACTTAAACTTAAAAAAAAATATGTAGCTCTTTTGTAAAAAAGAACATTACAACAACAAAAAGAGAAAAATCCTTTGTATAACGGGAGAAGAGGATATTCCAATCTCACGATTCTTGCTCTGGCTCTCTCACCGGGAATTTCAATTGTTCAATGTGAACAGTCCTTCGTTTACTGCGTTCTTTAATGCTTTGGATTGTTACAATGTTGTGTTCTCAAATCACAATCACTTTGAATGGCCACTCATATCTAACCATCTCCTTTCCCCTGTTCGACTCTAATTTCCGGTAGACTGTGGTCTCTATGCTAATGTTCTCCATCCTGTTTCGAAAGCTAATATTTTCTCGCTAATCTCTTACATTTTTCCGTCTCTATCCTCTTGCGGGTTTTCTCCCAACATTTTCCCAGCGCTATTTTGTTATTGATAAGTTTCTGCGACATAGCTTCTTCGGCCACCGTGTATTGAATTTTATTAATTTTACTATTCTGAAAGTCTGGATTTTATTAGTTTTACTGGAATATTATCAGGACAATAATCATTCATGTGGGATTTTACGATAGTGGAAAGTAATGCATCGTAGTACACATGGGAGAAAAAGAAGTATTCAGGATTGAAGTTGTGATGTTTAATATCGAAAGTAGGAGAAGAATATATGCCCTAAATATTTAACTGAGCTCTGTGCAAAGTTACATTTTTGTAGTTTTAATTTGAATCCTGCTCGTTGAACAGCCTTCATCAATTTTTCTATATTTATTTATTTATTTTTTTACAAATGTTAGCTCAGGGCAAGTCGACCCCTGAAGGATCTATTTTGCGCCAATTCAGTTATTCGTTTATTATCAAAACGTTATTTTTGCCACTTCCGCATATCTTAGTGGGCTGGTTGGATTGACCGTCTCATATCTACTGGGGGGATCCATTTGTTCCTCCCCAAATAGTTTCTGTCTCAGCCTTGCCAATCTATCATATTGACACAATGTGAAAAGTTGTTTCATTCTCCTCTTGACAGAATCTCTGCATAGCGGATTTGTCGTTACTCGGAGATTGAAGATATGGTAATTTAGCTTACAGTGGCCTGTATAGATTGCTCTAAGCTTTTTAAGATCTCAGTAGCAGTTTGCTTCTTATTTCACATGGACCTTTAATGAACAGCTTCGAATATATATATATATATATATATATATATATATAAAACTTACGTCGGTTCGAACTAAGAAAGATAAAAAAAAGAAAGAAGGCTTGAAATAAAACACGTGGTTGCTCAAACTAGACTGACTTTATTCTCTCCGTAATGCTATATATATAGCATTACGGTTTTTTTACAACTATTGACTAGGATTAACTCTTATATAAACTTACATCTAACCATAACTCCCCCCCGCCAGTTTATGAACACTTCTCATAAACTAACGCAGGGTTAGTGATATAATACATAACAAAACATAATACATAACAAAACAAAACAAAATAATCTTCCTTGGCGTTCCCATACAGCCATAGCACAGAACAAATAAAATTAAACATTTTCCTGCAATAAAAGAGCTACAAATGAAATAAACCTTCGACCGTCCTTCCATAGCTTGTAGGAGACAGAAAAGAGGATATACCACTTATTTACGTTACTGACCCGGCTCTATCGGGAGTTTCAACTGTTCTATGTGAACGGTCCTTCGTTTCCGAGGATCGTTCAGACTCTGAATGGTACAAAGATTGTGTTCGCGAAGTACAATCACTTTGAATGGTCCGTCGTAGCGTGCCAGTTCTTTCCCCCTATTAGAACCTACCCTACGATAGACTGTCATCCCTATCTTCAATTCCCCCATTCTGTCCTTGAGGTTCAGATTGGCCTTCTCCACCCTTTTCCGCTTTTCCCGCTCTATTTTCCCTCTCGTTTTTTCCCATACTTTCTTTATCTCTGCCCTGTTACAAGTGATCCGTTGAGCTTGTGCTTCGTCCGTGAGTGTTTCCATCCAATCCCGTCGCCGTATATTTACTCCAAACAATACCTCGACCGGAGAAAACCCTGTAACGGAGTGGATCGAATGGTTATAGGCCGCTATTGCTCTTTTCATAGCTACATCCCCTTCCAATCCCTGCTCCCCTTGATAAATACGTAGGTGGTCGCTTAAAGTGCTGTGCAACCTCTCGATATTTCCTCTGCCCTTTGTATGTCCCGGAGTATTAAAGTGCCAATCTTTGTCTAATCGTTTAACCTCCTCACGTACGGTATTGTTGTCGAACTCCCTCCCTCCGTCCGACGTTATGCGATCAGGCACTCCATAGAACTGGGCCCACGTTTGTAGAGCCCCCACAACCGCCTCCGACAACTTATCTCGTACTTGATGTGTCATCGCTACCTTGCTGAAGAGGTCGATCATCGTAATCCACTTAAACCCCCTCCACGTAAATGTATCGATTTGCACATCTTTCAATGGGATGTCTCCCGTAGGGGTTTCCTCCTGTAATCCTTGAGGTGGCCGTCTATCGTACTTAGTGCGCGCGCACACTTCGCATCTCCCAATGATTTCTGAAATTGTCTTCCTCATGCCATCCCAGAAATATCTTCTGCGCAACGCTTGCAACGTCTCTTGTTCTCCCCGATGGTTGGTCTTGCCCTGGTGATGTGCCAGTGTTACCTCCCTCTGCTGCTCCTTGTCCGTCACCGTTTCGACTAAGTATTTACACCTAATAAACGATCTGTCGATGCCTATTTTTTCTGATTTCCAGAGTTTCTTGATTTTTTCCCAGATGGTTGCATTCCCCACATACAGGTGGTGAACCTTTCCCGGCTCCGAGGCGTCGTGCAAGGCCTTACAAATTTGTTCTTCTTTCACCCCTGGTTGGGACCAAATGGTGTTCACCTTCTTCCTTCCATACTTACTGAAGTCAATCTTCATGAGTCCCGACGTTCTGGTCTTCCAAATCACCTGTCGTCGCTTATCGTTGATGATCTCGTCAAATTCCTTGATGTCTGTAGGCCTTTCTTCCACTGAGCTCTCTTCTCCTCTCGATTCCTCTGCTTCCACATTCCCTGGTTCCCCTTCCCCTTCTGGTGTCCACGCTCTCAAAAACTCCCGCACGTCCCGCGACGACTCTCCTTCTTCCTCCTCGATAGCATTTATCATTATGGCTCTGGACAGCCAGTCCGCCACCACATTGTCTTTACCTGGCTTATATATGACCTCCATATTGTACTGGCTTAGAAATTGCCTCCACCGAGTGACCCTTGCCGATGATTCCTTTAAATTACCAACCCATTGCAACGGTCTGTGATCGGTATGCACCCTAAATTTTCTGCCAAAAATATACGGCCTAAAGTGTCCTACCGCCCATACTATGCCCAAGAGTTCTCTTTCCAGGGCGCTATACCGCGTTTCCGCGTCTGTAAGCCGCCGACTCGCATACGCTACTGGCTGTTCCCCATTAGTTCCCTCTTGAGCAAGTACTGCCCCCAACGCATACTCACTCGCGTCCGTAGTGACGATAAACATCTTCGCAAAATCGGGAAAGCGAGTACCGGCTTATCTTGTAACCGCGCCATGCACTTCCTTACGTTATCCTCTATCTCTGGCGTTATTATTATCTTCCGGCCTTTCTTCAGAAGATTATTAAGAGGTGCTAAATACTCCGCCATTTCCGGCACGAACCGACGGTAATAGTTTAGTGTTCCCAATAATCTGCGGATCCCTTTAACATCCCTGGGCATCGCCATATTTTGTATTGCCTCGACCTTCTGTTTATCGGGCCTGATCCCCTCCTTTGAAATGGAATGTCCCAGAAAGGTTATCTGGTCCTGTCCCAAAATCGACTTCTCCGCTGATAATTTCAACCCAAATTGCCGTAATCTGTCGAATACGCGCCCCAAATGATCAACGTGCTGCTCTTCATCCTTGCTAAAGACCAAGAGATCGTCCATGTATACTTGACAGAATTCTTCGTCTAATCCCCTCAAGAATTCGTCCATAAATCTCTGGAAAGTTATGGGAG